GGGGCCATGAATTGCACGGCCACGGAGCGCGGCACGGGCAGGATCGTCAGCGAGACCATCGGCACGGGTGAGCTCGAGCAGCCTCCCCCTGGGCACCGCGGGCTTTGCTCTGTGCTTGGTCTGTGCTTGCAGGGACTCCAAGCCCGCTTCTTCCAGCCTTAAATCCCTTTTTCCCCATCTCCCTGGGCTGAAAGGCTGCAAATGCTGCCCTGGCCCCATCTCCCCCCCTGCTCCCTTTCCCCGGCCGCCCCTGGCGCCAGCTCCGTGCCCCGTCGGCAACGTCTCCTTGTCCTCCCCTCCCTCCCTGCAGCAGGATGCTTCCTGTGGCTGCTGGCCTTCGTGCCGCCCGGCGCCGCCGTCCTCGCCTTGATGTGGTGGGCAGCCCGGCTGCGCCGAAGGCCGGCCCGCGCGGTGCTGAGACGGGGCCCGGAGGTGAGCTGCTTCCCCAGCCCCCGGCACGAGGCTGTGGGCACGGCAGGAGGAAGGAGCTCCCAAGCAGCCCGGCCGGGGGCTTTGGCGCGGGCAAAGCATCCCCTGCAGCTGCAGGCGCAGCCCCAAGCGCGCGGCTTCTCGCTCTCTCTTGCAGCCCGAGTGCGAGTACGCGGCGCTGGGGCACTGAGAAGCCCTTTCCCCGCGCCCGCCCTGCCAGAAGCCGCTCACGCCTGCGGTCTGCGAGCAGCGAAAACAAGAGAGGAAAGGGAAAGTGGTGGGATCCTGCGCTCTGCTGCATTTCCCTGCTGGGCTGCATGGCAGAGGGGGAGGAGGAACGCTGAGAGCGCTGCGGGAAGCTCGATAGCCATGAGGGATCCCATGCAGATAATAAAATTATTATATGCAACCGAGGTCTCTCAGCTTCATTGGGATCGCTCCTTGTGCTACCCCGTGTGACAGCCACGGGGAGCTGCTGTTAAACAGGGCAAAAAAAAAGTCCCTTTACACCTCGAGCCTTAAGCACAGCCCTGTTTTAGCCCCTCCTCTCTGCATTTTGCTTCCTGAAGGGCGACCTTGCACCGTGTGCCGGCTCCGAGGATGCTCCCCGTGCTCTCGGCACCTTCCCTGTCCGTGGCTGTGTGCATAACCCTGTGCTGGGGCATCCCGGCTCCCCTGGCTTTAGGGTTTACCACAACCTCCCCTTCCCCTCCACACGCGTGCTGCTGCTCCTGTGGCTGGGACACGAACCCCAAGGGGAAACCACCGAGCGACAGGGCCAAAACTTGTGGTGCCCTGCAACGTTTAATGCCCTTTTTGCCTCCATCTTCAAACACTTATAATGGGCTTTGGGACCCAGGGTGCCCTGAGCTGAAGGACCATGATGGTGGGAATGATCAGATCCCAACCGACCCTGAACGTGTGCGGGATTTGCTGCTCCACCTGGATCCGTACGCGTCCATGGGTCCGGATGGGTTCATCCCAGGGTCCTCAGAGAGCTGGCAGACATCGTGGCAGGACTGCGGGCTCACCTTGAGATTAGATATCAGGAGAAACTTCTGGTCTCAAAGAGTGGTCAGGCACCAGCATGGCCTGCCCAGGGACGTGGTGGAGTCACCATCCCTGGAGGGCTTTAAAAGCCGTTTAGATGTAGAGCTTAGGGATATGGTTTAGTGGAGACTGTTAGCGTTAGGTCAGAGGTTGGACTCGATGATTTTGAGGCCCCTTCAACCTAGAAATTCTGTGATTCTGTGATTCTGTGATTCTGTGATTCTGTGAGTGCAGGATTCTCAGCGCTGTGTGCAGCTCTGGGCCCCTCAGTACACGAAGGCCATGAAAGTGTTGGAGAGTGTCCAGAGGAGGGCGACCAAGATGGGGAAGGGCCTAGAGGGGAAGGCGTGTGGGGAGCGGCTGAGGGCACTGGGCCTGTTCAGGCTGGAGAAGAGGAAGCTGAGGGGGGACCTCATGGCGGCCTACAGCTTGCTGGCGAGGGGAGTGGAGGGGCAGGCGCCGCCCTGTTCTCCTAAATGCCCAGTGCCAGCACCCGTGGGTGCCGTGGGGAGCAGGCCTGGGGCTTCCCCCCCAGCCCCAGGCAGCAGTAGCGGCGTTTCTTGCAGGGGGCGTTGAGTTTTGAATTTAGTCTCCATTTCCTCCACGTTTGAGGTTCAACCCCATGATTTACTCCTCATTTGAGCTTCTATCTCTTTATTATCTCCATGTTTGTGGTTCAACCCAACAATTTACTCCTCATTTTAGTTTCAATCTCTTTATTAACGCCACATTTCAGGTCCAATCCCGTCATTCACTGCTCCTTCGAGCCCCCTCCTCGGAGGTTCGGTCCCTTGGAGGTTCGGTCTCGTTCCTTCCTCCCCGCTGTCCCGGCGGCCGGGGCAGCCGCAGCCTCCCGGGGCTGCACGGCGCCGCCACCGAGGCCTTGGGGCCCAGCCCCGTGGGTCACGGCGCTGCCCTCGCTGGGGTGGCGAAGCGGAGCTGGGCGTACGTCAGCTCTCCCTGCGGGCACCAACGCCATCAGAGCGGCCCCAAGACCAGCCCCCAACACTTATGGGGCTGGGCCTGTCCCCATTATTGCCGCTGCCCCGTGTGGGGACCCCCGGGGCTCACAGGGCCTCACCTGCTGGTGCTGGGGTGCAGGAGGGTTCGGGGCTCTGGGCCGGAGTCCTGGCGGGGACAGAGACGTGTCCCCAGCATGGGGACGGAGGGGAATTGGGGATGGGATGGGGGAGCGGGGTGCAGGGCAGCAGGGGAAAAAAGGGGATACAGGGGGGTCCATCTCCCCCAGCCCCTGCTCGGCTCCTTACCCGTCCGTGCGCGGAGGAGGCAGCGGACGCTGAGGCTGAGGCCGAGCAGCAGCAGCGCCCCGGCTGCGGCCATGGCCACGACACTTGGTGTCGTGCAGGCACCTGGGGGGGGCCACTTGTCCCAGCCATCTGCTGACACCCATGTCCCCCCCTTGATCTCTCCCGTACCCCAGCATGCTCCCATTGCCCCCCATTATTCCCCCATCGCCACCCAGCTTCCCCCCATCAACACCCAGCTTCCCCCCATCGCCCCCAACATCCCCCCGTTGTCCCCCATTATCCCCCCATCACCGCCAACATGCCCCCATCACCACCCAGCATCCCCCCATCGTCCCCAACATAAACCATTACCCCCATTATCCCCCCTTTGCCCCCCAACATCCCCCATTACCCCCAACATTGCCTCACTTTCCCCACACGTGCCCCAGCTCTGAGAAGCTGATGGGGAAGGGGGGGTGACCCCATGTGCCCTGTCCCCTGGTCACCCCGGTGCCCAGGCTCATGCTCACCCTTGGCCCCGTGCAGCTCCACGCTCCTGCGGACGGGGGGACCGGAGGCATTGAAGCGCACCTCGCAGAGCCCCCCGGTGCCCCCGGCGATGCCCGCGGGGCTGATGAGCGGCTCTGTGCTGCCCCCCAGCCCCAGCACCTGCTGGGGTCGGGGCCCCCCCGGCCAGGAGACGAGGACGGGGCCGCTGGCGTTGCCCACGGCACAGACCAGGCCGGGGGGGTCTGAAGGGGAGCCGTGGGGCGCCAGCACCCGCACCCAGCTCTGGGCCCTCCAGCTGTCTGCACAGACGAGAGCAGGGGCTCGGTGGGCTGCGATGTGGGCAGGGACCCCGCGTGCCCCTGGGGACCCCTCCCAGTGACACGAGGGGCATGGGGGGTGTCCATGCAATGGGGAGAAACGGGGGTCCCATCCGCTGTAGGGACATGGGTGCAGACTGCGCAATGGGGAAACTTGGGGGGTTCCACATCTAACAAGAGAGGGCTCAGGGGTAGATGTTGGGGTCCCCCCATCTGCCACCCTTAGCCCAGCAGCCCCCCTACCTCCCACGATCAGCGCGGTGCCGTTGCCGAAGAGCAGCTTGGATCCGGAGATGCAGGCACAGAGGTAGAGGCCGATATGGTCGGGGCGGGCAGCAGCGATGTGCAGCACAGCGCGTCCCTTCGTGTACTCGCAGGAAAATCCATCCTGAACCTCCTGGTCGCAGCTTAGGATGAACCGTGGCCGCTCCCCACGGACACGCCGGTACCAGAGTGTGTTGTGTTGGCCATCAAGCGTCTCATCCATTACGCAGCTGATGGCCACCGGAGTGCTTGGTTCCACGAAGAGGAAGGGCTGGGGCTGGTGCACTTTCAGCAACGTTGCCGGTGCTGCAGGGACCGACCGGGGGCTCATTCAGTGCCTGCTCCCCAAGCCCAGCCTGTGCTCCCATCTCCCGGGAGCCGCTCTCCCCAGCGCCTGCCCCGATGCTCACCCAGCCACAGCAGCAGCAGCCCCGTGGCCAGCAGCGCCTCCGTGCAGGAGAAACCCAGGGGAGCCATCGGCGTGCTCGTCCCAGTCCTTCTGCAGAGTGGCCGAGTACACCGGGTCCTGTGGATGCACGAAGTGTGGGGCCCCAGCATTGATCTCCCCCAGCCGTGAGGACGCGGTGTCCCCAGGAAGGACGCGGTGTCCCCACGGGGAATGCGTCCTCCCCACTTGCCGCTGCCGGCAGCTGTGGGGTGCATCGCCGGGTGCAGAGCTCTTGTCAGCTTGCTGCACGGACCCACATCCGGCAGGAAAATTTGGCTTTTAACCTTTTCTGCAATGCTCAGGGCTGCAGGTGGCTCCTCAAAGGCCCTGTGACGCCCTCAGGTGCCCACCCCCAAATTCTCGACATGAAAGAAGAAGCCAGCCCCAGCGCTGGGCACTCCAAACCACAGCGCACCGTGCCGCCGCTCTTGCTTTGGGGAAACCGCAGCGCAGAGGCTGGGGAGCTGCCTCGGGGCGGGGGTGGCTGCACCCCCAGGCGCGGCCCCCCCAGCCATCCTCACGTCAGCCGAAGTGACCTTACCGGTGATGTTCAAAGGGCCGCGGACCGAAGGCGAGAGGCAAGTCTGGTCCCCCAGCCCTGCCCTGCTTTCCTGTTGTGGTTCGGCAACCGTGGCTCTTTGCTACCCCAGCGCCCAACTTTGGCGACAAAAACCTTCAGAGCCAATGGTTTGCTGGCAGCGGCGTGGGGGGGCAGGGGTTCCGTGCGAACAAACAGCAGAGAGGTGACAAAATCAACAAGGCGAGGCTGACCGCAGCGCTCCTCGGCTCCGGCAGCTCCGCACGCAGCCTCCGGCTGCTGCAACAAGGCCGAGCCTCCACGAGCAGCCTTTGCTCCTCCAGCTCCGAGAGACACCAGAGGCACCTCGCCGCCCTCCCCGGTGCTCGTCGTGCTCCTCTCCAGAGCAGACCCGTGCACGTGGCACGGCCTCGTGAGATTTGCTGCAGCCTGAAGGCCACGAGCCGAGAGGCGACCGAGGAGCGTGGGCAGCCCCAGGCGGAGATGTGCAGCCTGCCCGGGGTTCTCCTGCTCCTCCTGACAGGTACGTCCCGTCCCGTCCCGCTGCACCAATGCTCCAGCCTTGCTTTCTGCTACGCTAAACCCGCTTGGGATCGTCCGCAGTGGCTTAAGACCAACCTGAGCCGGTGGGCAGAGGGAGGGGAGGCAGCTGCGGGGCTTAGGCTCGTCAGAGGTTTGCTGAAAGAGTTTCCCTGAAGCATTTTCAATGCAATCTCTTCAAAAGCCTGAGTGCGGCGGCTGTGCAAAACCCACCCCGGGGTGCTGCTGCCTCTCTGAGAGGCAGGAATCACCTTTGGCATGCCCAAACACAGCGGGCTTCTCAGACTCTGTGCTGGGCGCTGATCCAGCCCTGACTTTTTTCGCCTGCAAACCTTGTGTGCTGTGGAGGAAGCACAGACGAACCGTCGGCACCTGAGCGCACATGGCCCCGGCACTGCTGGCTGCCTCCCCTGTGTTCTGTGCTGTGTATTTTGTGGGGGTGATGCTCTGCCTCGGGGCTGAGAAAGCCAAATCAATGTGGCACGCCAGTTTTGCATGAAACTGCCTCAAACCCCGCTCGTTTGGATCCAGAAGGCAACAACCGAAAGCGCGAGGGTGACCCCATGGCACTGCCTGCTGCGCTCAGAACCGCTTCCCCTGTGCAGGAGCCGCCTCTGTGGAGGAGCCACAGATCCAGCAGAGCCCGGCAGAGCTCTGGCTGTCCCCTGGGGCAACGGCCGAGCTGAACTGCAGCATCTCGGGCAGCCCACGGCGTGCCAATTGGTACAGGGAGAAGCCGGACGGAAGCTTGGAATGGATTTACTGGAGCGCAGCGGCCTCGAAACCAAACGGGAAATACTCAGGGATGATGAGAGCATGGGGTATTTTCTCCTTGAGTATCAGCAATGTGCAGCGTGAGGACTCTGGGTATTATTACTGCACCTCCTCAGTGTTGCACTCCCAGTTTGGGAACGGGACCAGGCTCCTCGTCACAGGTGAGCGCGGCAGCGTGTGGCGGTGCTGGGGACATCCCTGGGGACATCCCTGGGGACACTGGGTTTTCCCTCTCACTTTCAGATGCCTCCGAGCCCAAGGTCTCAATCCTGGTGCCCGTGGACACGGAGGAGCCCTCGGACTTTGTCCCCCTGCAGTGCCACCTCCCTGGCTCCTGGAACCTCACCTGGGTCTCAGCCGAGCGCTGGGACGGGGCCATGAATTGCACGGCCACGGAGCGCGGCACGGGCAGGATCGTCAGCGAGACCATCGGCACGGGTGAGCTCGAGCAGCCTCCCCCTGGGCACCGCGGGCTTTGCTCTGTGCTTGGTCTGTGCTTGCAGGGACTCCAAGCCCGCTTCTTCCAGCCTTAAATCCCTTTTTCCCCGTCTCCCTGGGCTGAAAGGCTGCAAACGCTGCCCTGGCCCCATCTCCCTGCACCGCTCCCTTTCCCCGGCCGCCCCCGGCACCAGCTCCGTGCCCCGTCGGCAACGTCTCCTTGTCCTCCCCTCCCTCCCTGCAGCAGGATGCTTCCTGTGGCTGCTGGCCTTCGTGCCGCCCGGCGCCGCCGTCCTCGCCTTGATGTGGTGGGCAGCCCGGCTGCGCCGAAGGCCGGCCCGCGCGGTGCTGAGACGGGGCCCGGAGGTGAGCTGCTTCCCCAGCCCCCGGCATGAGGCTGTGGGCACGGCAGGAGGAAGGAGCTCCCAAGCAGCCCGGCCGGGGGCTTTGGCGCGGGCAAAGCATCCCCTGCAGCTGCAGGCGCAGCCCCAAGCGCGCGGCTTCTCGCTCTCTCTTGCAGCCCGAGTGCGAGTACGCGGCGCTGGGGCACTGAGAAGCCCTTTCCCCGCGCCCGCCCTGCCAGAAGCCGCTCACGCCTGCGGTCTGCGAGCAGCGAAAACAAGAGAGGAAAGGGAAAGTGGTGGGATCCTGCGCTCTGCTGCATTTCCCTGCTGGGCTGCATGGCAGAGGGGGAGGAGGAACGCGGAGAGCGCTGCGGGAAGCTCGATGGCCATGAGAAATTGCATGGAAATAATAAAATCATGATTTCTTGGTAAGCAACCGAGGTCTCAGCTTCATTGGGATTGCTCCCTGTGCTACCCCGTGTGACAGCCACGGGGAGCTGCTGTTAAACAGGGCCAAAAAAAAAGTCCCTTTACACTTTGAGCCTTAAGCACAGCCCTGTTTTAGCCCCTCCTCTCTGCATTTTGCTTTCTGAAGGGCGACCTTGCACCGTGTGCCGGCTCCGAGGATGCTCCCCGTGCTCTCAGCACCTTCCCTGTCTGTGGCCACGCACACGACCCCGTGCTGGGGCAGGCATCCCGGCTCCCCTGGCTTTAGGGTTTACCACAACCTCCCCTTCCCCTCCACACGCGTGCTGCTGCTCCTGTGGCTGGGACACGAAGCCCTAAAGGGGAAACCACCGAGTAACGGGGCCAAAACTCGCAGTGCCCCCATGGGCTGTGCTGGCCCCTCGGCGTCAGCCGGACGCGCGCGGCTGGAGGAGCATCTCCATGGGGAGGGGAAGGGAAGCGAAGCCGCATTCCAGCCTGGGAGCCAGCTCTGTGTTTAATTAGGAAGGGACAGATGCCTGCCAACCAAACAGCTTGGAGACATCCTCCTGGGGCTCCCCACCCAGTGTCGGCGGTGCGGGACGAAGGCCAGGGGTGGTCTCGGCGCCTGTCCCGGCCGAGGAGCAGCAGGGGGGCGGCGTGGGGCTGGAGACCCCCTTTGTGTTGGCCGGAGCCTGCTTGGAGCCCCCCAAGAGGACGGTGCCCGGGGTGCAGCAAACACCGGCGTGAACGGGGAGAACCCTGGGTGCACCGTGGGTGCTTTTTGGGAATCCCCGCTCACAGCAGCCTTTCTCCCATCTCAGCGCCTCCCTCCCTGCACCGCGCACGCCCTGCTCTGCCGAGAGCTGCGCCCAAACCAGCTGGGAAGGGCAGGAAAGCTTTATTTAGAGCAGAACGCCGCGCCGTGCAGGAGGATCGGCTCCTTCTCTTGGCAGAAATCCCCTCGTGCCGTGGGGGGCTCCTGCGGGAAGCGCCCACCCCACCTACCTGTCCACCCGCTGCGCGGCACCGCGGGGTCCCCATCCCAGCACCCGTGGGTGCAGGCGCCGTGGGGAGCAGGCTGGGGGCTTCCCTCCCACTCCCATCGCGGGGTGGCTCCATCCATCTTCTCTTCTGCAGCAGAAGCCCCAAACAACGTCCTTCGGCTGCTTCCGCAGGAATCCTGCTAATGTCATCTGCTCGGGCGCGAGGCATTGTTAGCAGCTCAGCCTTATTTACCAGCTGCGTTTTTTTTTTTTTTATTTATTTCCCTTCGAGTTTTGCTTCCTCCTATTAAAGCTGGGAAATGACGCCATGCAGCCTAAAGCAGAGGACCTGAGCGGTTCCCTTTGCACCTTCCCGGGCTCCCTGGGTGCCTTCCTTGGGCGCCACGAGGGGTCAGAGCCGCCGGTGCGAGCTGCGTGGTTCCTTGCACAAAAAGCCACATTTTTTTTTTGGCTCCCGCCCCACACTTTCCCATGTGAAAGGCCGCGCTCCCACCGCCGGCTGCAGAGCTCCCACGTGCGGGGCCGCTCTCTGTCCCTCGCCGCGCGACCTCGGAGGGCTTGGTTTTTGGCACGCGGGCTTTAAGAAGGGAAAAGAGGGAAAAACGCGGAGCTCGCGCAAAATAGGAGCGAGGTTTTGAAATAGGCGCGTGGGGGCAGAGATGGGAAAGGCGTTGCTTTTTGGCCGCTTTTCTCGGCCGCTCTCTGGGTGATGTTTTCATTCCGTGTTGCCAGATGTTACGAGGGAGCGGGAGCAGAGCTAAAGGTGCGTGCCAGCCCCCGAGCAGATCGCACAGCCCCCACGGCAGCACCGCCACGGCCCCTTTCCCATTTCCCCATTTCAGCCCCAAAGGAACGATGCTCCCACCGCAGCTCGTTTGCCTGCCAAGAAGTTTGTCTTCCCAGCCCCATCATCTCCCTGCCTAAAACACAAGATAATCCTCCTAAACCTGCCTTGCCCCTCCCTCCCCACCAGCCCCAAAACCCCGGTGTTCGGACCCTTTACGGCTCTCCCTCTCCCACGCTGCCGTTCCCACCCGAGCCCCGCTGGAATTCGCTGCATCGCTCCCAGCCAGCTCAGATTTCTGCTTGGGTTGAGATTTTGGTTTTGATGTTATTTCTGTGGGTCGGGGGGACGCTTTGGAGATACTCGCTTCCTGCCTGCTGGGTTGCTCAGCATTCCTCCACACTTAACCCTTTGTCAAGCTCTCCGGAGCGCTGGAAAAAGCCCCTTTGGCAGAGCACCCGCGACGATGGGTGGCTGCGAAATGTTTCCAGGCTCTTTTTGATGCTTCTTCCGTCAAAAAAAGACAAGACTTTGGCTAATCCCTCAGTGTAAAACTGACAGGAAGAGCACAGGGAGGGGAAAACCGTTCCGTGCTGCTGCTCCCACGGTGCCCGTGCCCTGGCGCCTTGGAGCGGAGCTGTCATGGCCGTGGGCCATCAGCCTCCCTCGCCTCGCTCCTGTTCTCCCAGCCCCGAAATTAGGCCAGGGTTTTGAAAATTCCATCTGGCAAGGGGAGGACAAGAGGCAGCGGGGTTGGGAAGCGGTGCCAGGGGTGCTGGGGGTGACCAAAACCCCCAAAGCTCCGCGCCGCCGTGCGCATTGCGACGGTTTTGCTGCTGGGAGAAGAACCCACAGCGGCGAGGCGTGTTTTTCCCCAAAAAAACATTAATCGGGATTGGTGTGGCCTGCAGCAAGCTGCCTGCCCCTAAACCTCCTCCTGCTGCCGCCGCTCTCACGCCCGGCTTGGAGCCCTCGTGCGCCAGCTTCTTTCCCCAGAGAGCAGAGCGCAGACATTTCGTTTTCCTCCTGGTTTCTTTCCAAGAAGCGTTCTCCCAGTTTGTTTTTAGTTTTCAGTTTTCGTACCAGGGCACCACACCCTGCGGATGCAGCGACAGGAGCGCAAAGCACGGTGAGCAGAGGGGGCCTACGGCACGCCGCGGCGGAGCACTTCTGCACCCTGCGTGGATAAAATCCACCCACGACCATTCGCGGTTCTTCTCACCGCCCGAGAACGTGAGGCACACGGAGGTTAAACGCGAGCCAGGACAACAGAAATCCCCTAAACTTTTAAGGGAAGTCAGGAGCCGCTTTCAGCAGCCCTGGCTCCCAGCCAGCGTTTCTGCCCCTGCCCCTCAGCTGCAGATTTATCCGCCCGAAGCACTCGTCCTGCTGGCACAGCCCTCGTGCGCTGCTCACCGCCTGCAGCCCCACCGGAGCCACCTGCCCCGCACCTGGGCAAAGGGGAAACTCTTTGCCAAGGGAAATCCTCAATCGCTGCCACTCCGGGGGAAGCCCCCCCTGCCCCAGCCACCCCAACCGCATCCAGAGTGGGCGCGTTTCGGAGGAGCGTGCGGTGCCTTCTCCCCAGTGCGGGGGCTGCTCAGCCCGGCCCCCAGCAGTGTCATTTCCTGCCTCCCGGCCGTGCCGCTGGGGACTTCTGGAGAAATTGCCAAGCAGCAGCACCGGGAGGCATCAGCAGACGGCACGGCGAGGCGGGACGATGAATTTTTTGTTCGTGGCGGTCTTGGCTCTTCCTTTTCTGCTGGGTAAACGCGTTGTTCTTTCTCTTTTCCCTGCCTTGCAACTCGGGTGCTCGAGCAGCTCGGAGCGCGCACGCTCCCGGGATGCTGCACGGTGCCCGGCTGCGGTCGGGCAGAAGGGGCTGGGGGGGTTTGCTCGGTGGTTGAGGTGTTGGGAGCGAAACCGAGCTGGGGAAAAGCTCGGTGCACACATCCTGACGGGTTCATACGCACCGGGGGTCGCAGCAGAGCGGGTGCTTGCAGGAGGTTTGACAATCCCTAACGCTTCCCACATTGCGCTCAAACGAGCTCGCGGCACACAGCTGGGACCGATTAAGGGAGATGAACACGGGCTGGGGAACAAACGGGACTGCCCGAGTCCTCAGGTGGGTGCTCAGGAGCTGGAGGGCACCAGGTGAGCCAAGCGGGGTAGAAGCAGTGCCCAAAGCAAAGCCGTGGCTGGAAACTGCTTTGGGCTGCAGGGAGCCAAGCAAAGGGGATGGAGCCGCGCGTCCTGCACTGCGCAAGGGGTTAAAAGCAGCCGGGGCTTCCCAGATGGAAGCTCTTTGCTCCGGACGCAGCTCCCTTTTTATCCCAAGCACAAAGAGGAGCCTGCTCGGAAAACTTTCTCAGAAAGCCCAGCGCAGGGAGAAGGTGGCTGGGAGCTGACGGGAGCGCAGCTGGAAAGGAACGGAGTGAACGGAGCGTTCCCGACGGGTCCAAACCTCCCAAAGGGAGGTCCCAGGCGCCCACCCGGTCCCGGTGCTGCCTCCCCGTGCACCTCGAGGCTGGGTCAGAGCACGCCGTGGTGCTGGGAACCGGGCTCGGGGTTGGGAGCACAGCCCAAGGAGGCTGGGGGCACACGAGGACACGGGGCGGGGGGTGGAGAGGGGAACCCGCGGGTGCCACCCGTCAGCACAAGTGGAATAAGGGATTCGGGTCAAAACGGTCCCCGAGCGTGAGAGGAGAAAAGTGCAGCTGTGGAAAAGGGAAATGAGCTGTGAGGTGCACGGACCCATTCACAGCGGCTCGCCCGAGGAAACGGCTCCGTGATGGGGATGGGCCCCAGGGCACAGGGACACCCAGGGCACGGGGACGCAGCCCCATTGCCCCCGATCCCTCTCTTGGCAAACCTGCGGAGGGAAATCCCAAGCGTGGGTCAAGCTGCGGTCCGCTCCGTAACATGAGAGCTTTTGCTCTCTGAAGTCCCTGATTTAATGAGGGGTCAGACTGCAAATCCGGCACTCCCACGAGGGAGCGAGTTGTGCGCAAAGTGCCCAGAAAGCAGCAAAGCTGCTCCTGCGAAACCACGTCCCACTGGGGCAGGGAGCGAGCTGGCCCCATGCAAGTCTGCTGACGCTGGCGGGGTACGAACCGCTCCTCTCTTGATTGTTTGCTTGATTTGGGTTTTTTTAGGGTATGCTGAAGTGGGAGAAGAAGAGGAAATGACACGGTTTTTATATGAATACGCATCTCACTTCGGTAAGAAATTCTCGTTTTTGGCTAATTTCGACACGAACCACAGGGCAAGGGCAGGGCAACGCCCGTGCTGAGGCTCTGCAGGAACAGGAGCAGGGGAGGGGGGCAGGGGTCTGGATGCCCCCAGGGGCATCCTCCCTCTGGAAGGGTTGAAATTAAGCAGTGCTGGGACCAGAGCTGCGTAAAACTGAACAAGAGGATTAAAAGTAGAGCTCAAAGCCCTTTCTCTGGAGCTGCTCTGCCCCCAGTGGCTCTCGCTCACATCCGGATCACGCTCTGCCAAGCTAAAACCTCACCGAGGTGCACTGAGAGCAGAGACCCCGCCGGGGTGACGCAGCGTTGGCTTTCCCGCACCCGCTGCGCTTGTGCCAGCACCACTGGTGCAAACTGGTGCAAACTGGTGCGGCCCCGCAGCCCCCTGGGGTCCAGCTCCCAGCCTCCGCTGGGTGGCACCGACTCACCGGGACGCTGCTTTGGCTGCAGGTGATTACTTGTACGCAACCATCGACTACTACCCTGAGAACTCCACGATACTCCCCACCATATACCTGTACGAGGTGAGTACCCGAAGCGTTTCTCTTCGGATTCCTAAAAAAATCGGCTCCTCCCGCACGCCTCACCAGCCAAATTTAACACCCGCTGCCCCAACGAGGGTTGGTCGTGCTCCTGACCACCCGCTCGAGCACCATCCGGCTTTGGGGAAGGGATGTGCAAAACAGGGGGGTTTCTCCCCAAATTTTAACTCCGTGACCTGGAGCTTTTTGGCTCTCCCAGCTCCCGCAGGGAGGCTCCGGGGCACTTCGGTTTCTGCCCCGCAGCCCACGCACAGGGATGGGGAGGGCAGAGGGGATCGGCGGAGCGCGTCGGACCCGGCTGCTGCCAACTGATTTCTCTTCCTCGGCTTCCCAGGAGATGTCAGATTCTGCAGGATCGTCCCTCCACTGCCACCTGCCCCTCGTTGTCCTTCTCAGCCTCCTGGGTGTCCTGCTGTGACTCCCCAGGCTTGGCAGGTACGAGAGCCACGCAGCACCGGGGCTCGGAGCATTTCGCCACCGCTGACATCCCCAAGGCAGCAGCACCCGGCAGCGCCTCCCCGAAATAAGGAAACCTTCTGGGCAGCCAGCCCCATGCCGGGGACAACCAGAGAAGCACAGATCACCACCGGGACTGCCTGCAGAAATGCCAAAAACCCAGCTTAGTTTTTTTTTTTTCCCGAAGCACCCAAGCCTCTTTTTCGGGCTCGCCAGCGGCCAGGTGCGCGCAGGATCCCCGCGCGGCCGCCAGCCCGCCCCGAAACACAATGGGAGGACATGGGAATCGCTTCCGAGCCTCTTCCCCTCTCCGCAGACGCGGCGACTCGGCCGAAGAAAAGAATTTCGTCACCGCGTTGGAAGTTACATCCTCCGAGCGAAGCAGCCGCCTCTGTTTTTAGCACGGCGGTGACTCGACGCCCACGGCTCCCAGCAGATGGATGATGCCATCGCGGGCCATAAAAGCTGTGCAAACACCGAGGGGCTCCGTAATGCCTCGGCTCTTTTCCTCTTTCCTCTTATTCTCTTGTAAATATGAACTCCTGCCAATAAAGTGACAAACAATTGACTTTGTCTCCGCCGTGCACGACCGCACGAGACGGGCGCTGACCCCAACGCACGGCTCCAGCTCTCTCCCAGCTGGTGGCCAACGGGCCAAGAAAGGGCTGGAAGGGGCCCTGCAGCCTCCTGGAAGCTGATATTACTCGGCAGAGCCTGCAGACGCCTCCTTCCCAAGGCAGCACCGTGCAGCTTGCTGCAAGTCGCAGGAAAATCCCGGGGTTTCCATCACCGGAGCCGCAGCTCGCGCAGGGCACGCACCAGGGCACCTCCAGACCGTGCAGCATTCGTTTAATCCTTTCCCTTCGGGATGCCTGCAGGAGTTTTTCCCCCTGTAGGAAAACCCAGAGCCCGCCCAGCCCCGTGGCTGCAGCAGGAGGTTGAAGCTTCCCCCGTTATTCACCCCCGGACCCCGATGGTGCCCCGCTCGGCTCTGCCTCCCGGCCCCTAAATGCACTAAGCAGCTTTAAGGCTAAAGAGGATTTCCCTCCGTTTTCGAGAGCCGTTCACAATTATCTCTGCGCAGGAAGAAACCAGAAGGGCTCTCAAGGTCTCCGCTGGGTTTTCCAGCCTTATCAGCCTCCCGGAGGAGCCGCGGGTGCAGCAGCAAAACCCCAAACCAGGAGGCTGGGGGGAATTTGGGGCTCCTCACCTCCACCTCCCGGCATCTGTGACCTGATTTCTGCACGCCCCCAGCCCCAAAAAGGAAGGTCAGTGGCAGCTCAGCACCCCACTAGGGGTTCACCCCCCAAAAAACCCAGCTGTGCACCCCAAAACGTGCAGGCAGCTGAAAAAAGGAGCTCGAAGCTGCCCTCCACAGGGCCAGCGGGGATGTGCTGGGTTCGGGGCTTTGCAGAAAGCTGCTGACAGCCAGGGTGGCATTGCTGGGAAGGCAGCGCTGCTCTGCGCCGTGGCGAGGGCTGAGCCCCGTTTCCTGCATTGATTATTTATTATTCATTAGTTACGAATGCGCAAAACCGATGCTGACGCCGCGATCCCAAAGCG